TATGCCGCCCAGCAGCACAGGCCGCAGGATGCTGCCGCTCAGGCAGAGCGTGGCCCACATCAGTCACCCGATCTAGAAAATCCATCACAGACAAGCCAGATGTCTGCTTCCACGAATACTTCTGAGTCTTATCAGTCCAGGTCAGTCCTCACAGATTCCTACAGGGAAAGCACACTCCACCCCTCTACAGAAGTCACTTCCAGGGAAACGGAGGACAGCTGACCTCACACTGCCCACGTGGATACATGGTGTTCGTACATGCTAGCTGAGGCTTTACGTTTCCTGCTTACTGCTGAAAGTAATCCAGGCAGAAAAAACAGTGCCAAATGAATGGGAGCTGCTGTGTGCTGCTTCACTTTTTTACATTATTTTTATTTATATGTATGACTGTGTGCCTACTTGTCTGTGTGGTTCCTCATGCACTCTGGTACCCTCAGAGGCCAGGAGAGGGCATCACATCCTCTTGGGCTGGCATTATAGGGGGTTATGAGCCACCCCAGGAAATGAACCTAGGTCCATGTGTGTGTGTGTGTGTGTGTGTGTGTGTGTGTGTGTGTGTGTGTATGTGTGTGTATGTGTGTGTGTAGTAGTAGGCGCAGTTCTGGTGATTGGTGGTGAGAGCCCATCCCCGCTCCGTCATCTCCTGATCCACTCACTGCTTTTTACCAGGCCTGACCATGAGGTGCCTTCCATTTTCATTCTTCCTTCCATTCATTTCATCCTTCCATTTTCATTCTTGATGACCACTAAGATTCTTCGGTATGCACAGTAACATTTCCTCCCAAGTTTGGGAATTCTAGTCTTTCCTACCCCACCCCCACCCCGCCGCATCCCCTTTCTAGCGCTGGAATCAAAGCCTTGGACATGGCAGGCACACGCTGTGTCACCAAGCCTGGCCTCAGCCCTAGTGACTCTTTCTGAGGACAGTTTCTTAGCTGTCTCTTTGGGAGTCTGACTAGGTAGTGTGGTAGTCTCTCCTAGCACTCGGCACATTTTGTTCTTATCTTTCCATCTTGTCCTCCCTCCCAGCTCCATCTTTGTTCTTCAGATCGTAAATCACAGAAACAAGAGCATAGTTTTGTAATACCAGATACTTGGGAGGCCAAAGCAGGGTGGTTCCAAGTTCAAGGCCAGACTGGGCAATTTAGTGAGATCTTGTCTCAAAATAAAAAGTAAGATGCGAGTTTAGGATGACAAATCAATAATGAGATTGCCAACCATGTGTGAAGTTCTGGGTTTGAATCCCAGTTACCACCCCATAACCGAGTGCGCATGTGCTTACACACACACACACACACACACACACACACACACACACACACACACA